AAAAAGTATATAAATGCATTTTATTGTCATTTCTGAGAATCAGAAATAATTATGAAATGACTAAGTCATACCTGTGACAAAATCCCACTGCAGTTAACATGTGACCACCTGACTTAAATCACTGCTGTCCGGAGCTCTTTGCTTGCTTTGTTTGTTTGTTTGTTTTTTCATGAGGATGATTGTGAGTTGACATGTTTTGGGAGAAGGTGGCATAAATCAGCTGATTCAGAATGAATCTCTTATCTGTTTTAGGTCTTTTTGACCCAGGAGTTTGTGACCTATGAAAACGTTACTTTTGGGGATTTGTTAAAATATTTTACAGTGTGTAGATTTTAATTGATACCACACTGCTGGAAGTTGGCTAACATTGCCCAAAGGGAAGAGATGTATTGGGATAAATTGGAAAGAGCTTAAGAAGTTCTGTTAAATTTCAATGCAAGTGAGAAAAAGGAGAGTCGACAGTGGGAAACCCTGCACGTTCTCAGCCTGGAACAAGGAGAACCATCCTTTACCCTAGTGTCTGCAGTGTTCCTCTTACTCAGTGGCTCTCCCATTTCACGAAATTCTGCTTCAGTTCATTGCCAGAAAATGTGCCCAAAGAAGCCTGTGGGTCATTTATAAGGTACTGCACATCCAAGGCTGCAGAAAGTGACAGTGGGGACTTGGGGAGTGCTCTTGTCTGTGTCCGGAAGCCAAAAGGAAGATAAATAGCCACTGACCACCTCTCTTCTTATTGAAATGGTCCAGCCCTACCTTTACTGCAGGACTCACAGGGTTTTGAAGAGCAAATAAGATGGTGGTGAAGCGTAAACCCTCTTAGGATTTCACATTGATGCATTTTCCCCAGTGTAGGTTTCTAGCTCTAACTGTGATCTGGAAGCGACCCTCAAAGAAAGAAGTCTTGTTTTGTTTTTGGCCAGTCAAGCAAACACCCATAGGGGTGTTCTTTCCACACATGCATATGGATATGCTGTGTTCAGAAGATAATTTAATGGTATCTTTTGGGGACCCTTTGCAGGAATGCTGTCATTTCAAGGTCACATCTCTCTTGCTATTAATGTTTAAGTTGGAGAGTACTCAAGGATGTGCTATTTGAGGCTCAGTAGTTTAGGAGAACTACTTTGAGCCAGTTCATAGTAGACAAAGTCTTCTACAAGATGATAGTCTTTCTGTAATTATTTAATCTTTTTCTATTAAGTTATGAACTTGTTCACATTTATTTAATTATTTTGTATATTTTTGCCAGCCTTAAAAATAAAATAAGAAATTCCAAGATTATAAAAAAAATTGTACTATGTAATTTATAAAGATACCAAAGTAAGGAAGTAAAGGAGACATAGACACATTCAAATAAGAGGTATTAGTTTATGGGGCTAATTTTTTAAATTCCCCACATTATTTAAACATAACAGATAAAACATCTTTTAAATTTTGTGGTGATTTTTGGAATATAAAGATGAGGGGAGTAATCACAGACTACAAAGTCATCCCAATTTTAGCATAACTTAAAGGTTTTCTGTGTGAAAATTTTAAAGGAAAATTGAAATATTTTACTAGGCAAATATCATTTACTTTGCTCACAGTTCATAGTAATGCTGTTGATGAGTCTTTCCTTGAACATCTGGGGTCTTTAGATATGCCATCTATATTTGTATTAATTGTTCTTTTTTGAGAATGAGAATGTATTTCTATACAACAGAGGTTTACCTCTGTGTCTCGGTATTTGTTATAAAAATGGGTTGTTAATTTCCATAATTGACGTTGATCACAATGTTTTAATTTAATCTCCAGGTTGGTTTTTGTTTATTTGTTCTTCAGAATTTCCTTCCTATTTTTTAAATGTTAGAAGCTTAATTATTTCTCATTGGATTTGAAATAAGGGCAAAACCCCAAACTCCAGACAAGCAGAACCTTCTGCATGTACAGCTTCCTTGGCACTGGTTCGTTGCTGGGAGATGTTCACATGACCTCTCCTTTGTTAGCAGAGAGTCTGCGGCCCTTCCCAGGATGCTCTCCTGATCACTGTCTTTTAAATCCAAGTTGGAGGTTGATTAATGGATGGGGAGCTTTTCTATTCTGAGCTACACATATTGTTGACATTGTGTCACATGTTGCTTTTTAATTTCTGATGTGCTTAATGTGTTTTTAATTTGCAAAGCATGAGTGTCCCTTTCACAGCAGTAGAATAGAGTCAGCGTTTCTAAGTCCAGATACTGCTTTATTCAAACAAGAAGGGGCAGGGTGAAGAGGGCTGAACTGAAGCCTTGGGTTTCCTGCAACACGCACGTCAATGAATTTCACTTTGAATATTGTTCAATAAAAGAAGGCACTTGAGAAAGGCTTTTCTTTCCTCCGAGAAGTCTCTTGCCTCTTGGTGAGTGAATTGCCGTACTATAAAAGCTCTGGGGGAAAGTGAGTGAAAAGGCAATCCACAAATGATCACTCTCCTCTGCCTTTGATTGGGTCAGATTCGGTTGTGTGTGTGGCAATTGTTTTCTTTTTCACTTAGAAGAGGTTTATGGTCCGATGTCTGTCAAGTCAGACCTTGTCCTAAGGTTGTATTTCTCTCTGGAGTTCCTGGGGGTGATGTTATCTTCTGGTCACTCAGCGTGTGGTTGCTCTGGAGAGTATCTGTCACTCTAGGCATTACAAGATGGATGGGTCTCCAGTGAACTGCTGGGTGAAGCAAATGGTGAAAACAAGAAAAGACAAGAGGTTTCAGGGTCTGCAGAGGACAGACAACAGGGAAACCCTTAGAACTCAAGAGTAAGCTGAGCCCTGGAGGAAAGGAGAGCAAGGACGGGCCAGTGTCGGCCAGAAACGTCCTGCAGCTCAGAATCCTTTGGTGGCTTGTTGTGGTCTGAGGGAGTGATCTACATCATGGTAACAGCTTTGTGTTTCTGATTTCCAAAATGTGTGTGTGTGTGTGTGTGTGTGTGTATACATATATGTAGGTGTGTGTATATATATCTGGAGAAAGTATTGGGAAATAACAATAATAATAGGATGGTTTATGAAGATTTTGCTTTAAAATGTTTTAAAGATTAAGCTAAAAATTGAACATTTAGCCATTTCAGTTTACTTTCTGTTTTTTCCTTTTCTACTTTTTTTTATAATTATTGAAATGTCAGCCGACAGCTAGTAGATGTTAAGACACTTGGAAACTTGGGTCGTGTAGCTGATATCCTCATTGTTTTCCGAATGCTCTTTGGCACTTCCGCTAGGGAGTTCTGAGAGTTCTGTGTTTTAATGGAGACTGGGGGCAGGTCTTAAGTTCTTTTAAATTATCCTCAATTTCATTTAATGGATTCTGTGATGGAACAAATATATAATTTTTATTGATCTGTGAGACACTGAGGTTTGTACTGTACTTGTTTGGTTGGTAACAGTCACAGTGTGTAAATCCTTATTCATACAAAGTCCCTCCTGTGGGACAGAGAGGACAGGAAGCTGCCTAGGGATAGTAGATGAGAAAAGAGAGGGCAGTGTAACTGAAAAACAAAAAATGATTTTGTCAAACATTTTGGCATTTGTCTATGAAAAAGCCCATCAGTTGAAAGGCAAAGAAATTGAGATGGTTAGGAGCTTTAAGCTGCGTAAACGGTGGAGTCTCTCCTTCTCTGTGGGCGTAAATAATAGATGAAAGAGGAAGAGCGACAACAAAGGACCAGGTCCTTTAAGAAAATGTGTGCAACCTGAATAGGGGTCTGTGGTCCAGGGCCAAAGGTCTTAGCTTTGAGTGTAATTAGAAGAAAATACAAAAATGTCATTACTAGCAGGTGAAGTGTGTAGCACGTGGCTAAAAATTAGCAGTTTTAGACTCCAAAGCTATTGGAATTGGATTATTGACCCTTTTAAAAATCATTAAGATACTTGCAGAGTCAGTCGGTCCTCATTGGAAGTAATGCAGTTTGACCTCATTGACCATATGGGGTAATCTTGGGTTTGGATTAGGTAGGAAAGATGCTGTTGGTGCATGTGAGTGAGAAGTGTTAGCCTAAACATGCAGGGCCAGCGTTTTTCGTTATTCTTGTGTGAGAAGTAATTCTTCCAATAAGAAGAGGTTAAGACAAATATTTTTTATCCCAAAATCTATAATGTTTATTTTCTCTCTTTCAAGTTGACATAAAAAAGAAAGTACAAAAACATTTTAGCATGACTTCAAGTATTTTAATGTTATATATATTCATATTGCATTTAGTACATTCTTAAAAACTAAGAATCTTTAGTTTTCTTTTTTAGACATAGTAAAAATTACTTCTATGTTATGTATAAAAATTAATGACAAGTTGCTTTAATTTATTTAAGGCTTTACCAATTTTTCATATCTTTGTTTATGAATTTATATCAACATAATCTACTTAGTGGGGAAGAATAATAGGCACGTTATTCAATCAATTGTAGGTGATTATAGTTTATTTAATATCTCCTAGAAACACACTGCTCAGAAAGTAGGAAACCTTTCTCTTCTTGCAATTTTTCTGGAAATCATTATAGAAGTTCAAAAAGTAAAAATTATTACCTTCATATTAGTTATATTTGACTTCTTTATAATTAATTATAATTATACTAATTATAATATAAATTTATTAATTTATTATTTGAATAAATTAATTTTAGACAAATATCAGGAATTGTAAAACTCCCAAATGCCTCAGAATAAGAAAGTTGTCTTATCTTAATTCTATTCCAAAACAGAAGTAATCTGGGACTTTTACTGTTATGATGATGTCAAAGAAACTTTCTCAGCTCGCACTGAGGGAAGGTTGGGGAGGGTTGCTCTAAGAAAAACAGAAATTATTTTGACCATATATTGAGGGTGGTTGTTGAAGTTTAGGAATAGGGAGCTTCTTTCTATTTTCCCATAGTAATAAGTTGAGGTACACAGGACTTTGGTAATTCCTGTGGTTTTGTAGAATTTCAATATGTAGATTGTTATATTGTGCAATAAAGGGAACTGAGAAATAACTTGTGGTTTTATGCATTCTGTGTTTTTATAGGTGCAAAGAACCCTGAAGAACGTTGTGATCTCGGACAAGCTTCCTGAGATGTTGACTGCCTAGCTAACCATGAACATGATCCAAAAATGTTAATATATGAACCAAGGTATTGTGTGATTGCATTCCTCTTTTCAAGCTTTTCATAGTCAAATTGGTTTTGTTGGATTAATTTACAGCTGAAATGAAGCGACTATGTTTGCTCCTTAAACTGAGCAGGAGCGTATATGCCCTCCTTTCCAGTTCCACCCCACTCTGCAGGCCTCTCTGCTCTGTCTTCTCAATTCCCCAGTTAAACTTACTAAGTTTTTCTCCCAGATAGCTCTGAATTTCCTGTCTACATAAATTGAAAAAAATGTGAATTCAAGGGCTAACGAGAAGGTTCAGTGGGTAGAAGCACTCACTAAACGCTTCTCTAGAGGACTGAAGTGTCCCCCCCACCCCCACCCCTGTCACCCACATCAGGTGGTCCCTGAGATCCAATGCCAATGTGTGGATGGTCTCCGTGTCATCCACACACGGCATCCCCACAGTCAGACAAACACACATACACAAAAATAAAAATGAAATTTTAAACTCTTATTTTTCATATCTTTTTTCTTTTTTATTGTTCTTTGAAAATTTCATTCACATATACATTATGTCTTGATCAAACTCACCCTTAGTCCCTCCAAGAATGCACTTTTTGGTTCCTCTTTGGTAATTGTAATTTTCTTTCCAGTTGTCTGATAAGAGACTTTGAAGCCCTTGGTTATACAGAAAAAAAAAAATCAGCCTGTATTTAGTGATCACATATATTTAAAACCCTTGTGATACTGTTCTGAGACATGTGTTACAGAGCTTTAATAAAATGTTTCTGACTTTTTTTTTAAAGGCTTTTAATTCAGAGGGGAAGGGTGATATTGGTTCTCTCTCCTCCAATATCAGCGGGGGAAAAAAAAAACTTGTTAAGAATTGAGAATTTAGGGCTGGAGAGATGGCTTAGTGGTTAAGAGCACTGGCTGCTCCTCCAGAGGGCCTAGGTTTAATTCCCAGCACCCACATGGCAGTTCACAACTGTCTGTAACTCCAGTTTCCAGAGATCTGACACTCTCATACCAATGTACATAAAATAAAATATTTCAAAAAGAAAAGAATTAACAATTTAGGGTGACTGCTTTAGGGCCTCTTGGCTTTTAGAAAGAACATAAGCCAAACCCTCTCTCCCGGCTTTAGAAGTTACAGTGTGTTTAAATAGCCTAGTGTTTTCAGGGGAGGCCAAAGAGCTTTTCCTCTTTTATGACCTGTTGTATCCTTTTGAGGCCAGAGAGAACAAGAGGGTCATTGCCACTTCAGCCCAGTCCCTGTTTGTTCCTTAGTGATGACCAGGAAGACACTGAAACCTAGTATTGGCTTAACATCTGGAAAATGGTCAGAGAGGGGAAGGCAGAAGGGAGAGCCAGAACTGTTGCATTCTGTTTCACCAGGTGCTAGGAGGAAGCAACAGTAGCCTTTTTGATATGGGAGGCAAATTCTGTGGGCCCTGGCGTTAGGCTTCAACAATTGAAGAGGTCAGAGGACAGCTGAGTGGGGTCAGCAAGACACCATGGGGTGTATTTTGTTACTTAGGAAAAGGAGCAGCCCCTAAAGCCTTCAAGGATTCCCTTGGAAATCTGCGTTGTGAAAAGGTTTTATGAGTCTCATGGCAATAACTCCTGATTTATCTAAGGAACACTAGCTTTTGTCTAAAGGAAGGATAATCCTCACCAAATGTTGGCCAGGACTGTTAGACTCAGCAGAGGTCTGAAAGAATAGTTAGGATTTGAAGTGTGCTTCGCTTTCCAGAACACTTATCATATTAATGTTTCTGTCACAACAAAGAATTTTGCACTGTTGAAATATCGCCTTTTTCTTTTCTTGGAACAGAAAGCAGGGGAATGCTGGAGTAGGGAGCTGGTCACATTAATTTCAGAATTATTCTACATACTTGCACGCAGAAAACTATTATTAAGCCTTTTTTTCAAATACCAAAACTTGCTACCTCTAGAAGGTTATCTTTTAATTTGTTTATAAAGGGCATACATAAAGCATTAAGTATGTTTCTAGCTCACTGGTTTTTAACATTTTTTAATTCTTACTATTTTTTGTGTATACATGTGACTCTGGGATTGAACTCAGGACCTGATGCATACTACAGTCCTGGCTTGTAGACCTTTTGATTTTAACTGTTACTGATTGGTAGAAGGGGACTATAAGCTGATGAATAACTCCAAACCCTCCATTTCTCTCTGAAATTTTTTTCTTTTTTTCATATATATTGTATCAGGAAGAAAAAAAAATTCAATGTCAGAGCCAAGAATAAAAACATTGTATATCCAGTGGTAGAGGGCTTGCCCAGTGTGTGAGGCCCTGGGTTCTGTCCCAGCACCCACAAAGAATGGCAGCACAATAAGGGATGCTGTCTTTGAAAGGAGTTGGAGAATCTGGGGGTGGGGAGTCTGCCTGTTGTGGGAAGTCTGCGACCTCTGAGAGCAGCGCTGAATGATTTCTGAACACCTTTAAAGGTGGTAGCCCCTGATGGATACGTATGGCAGATTATCACTCTGGGCTTTGACAGTATTTTGATATTCCACTTTATACATTATGCATATATACAGATATAGAAAGAAAGCATATGTGTTAATATGTATAATAAAGAAAAAATCATGTGTATGATAAGCCTTGTTAAACATTTTTACTAATTTGTAAATTAGTGTTGCAATTAACATATTCAGTAGCTACAGTCGTGTGAGTCTTTTCGGTCCTTTTTTCAGTAATAACTCCTATTCAAGGATGTATTCACGAATGTAATTTCTCAAGGTTAAACAGCTTTCACCAGCTAATTCAGAAACCCGAGTGTGGTGACTGATAATTGCCTAGAGAGGACGCACAGCTGTTTAAGTAGCGTTGGATTGAGGGAAATCTGACAAGCGCAATGAGCAGAGTTAATAAGATAACGAAAGACTGATGTCGGGAGGGGGTGGGGAACCCACCAGTCACGTGCCCTTTCTCTGTGAAGCTGTGTCCCCCTCTAAATGGCCTCCAGACTACAGCGGGGCGGGTTGCTTTTCAGTTGTACAATGCAGCATGCCTGGTAAAAAAGCTTCAAACTCACGTCTGATTGAGGAAAAGCATCTGTTTGACGACAGTATCTGAGAAAAATGATAAAATTTTGTTGATTCTGAAGCTTAATTCGCTGGCCTTAGATGTACCTGTATTTCACTGTTCTTGCTTTGAGCCTAGATTTAATTCTTCCTCAAGTGCAGGATAAGGGGACCTTGTTTCTAGATGTTTCCACCATCACCTGAAACCAGACAAACTCTGAGAGTCTTTAATGTGTCGTTATATACATCAAGTGGGTTAATGCTCATGGCTCACTTTCTAAACAATCTTTTAAAAAACAAGATGGGATGCTTAAATAAGAAAAATTAAGAAAAATATCATTATCTTTGCCTTTACAGCTATACTTTCAAAATTAGTATTGACATTTAGAATGTCATTTTAGTAGTATCTTTAAATTACATTTGCATTTTGGAAATTAGTTTTGCCTCTGGAGCTTTATGCAAATCTTAATCCCCACAGAGCCTTCTTCTCCAGCCTGCGGCTCTGAAACCCTGACAGTCCTGATGGATGTAGTGAGCCACGCTTGGGAAGCTTCTCTCATTATTTAATGTTTTCTGGTCTTGGTTATTGACTTTTCTCTCTATTGAAAAATTGGTCTCTGGCGACATGGTGGGGGTCATGCAGGAATTACGCCAGTTCCAGAGAGTCCTGACAGGATATGTTTCTTTTACAAAAAGGTTCCCAGTTGGAACACTGTGTCCTTATGTTACAGAGTGAACCAGTGTCCTGCCTCATCTTCCTATGAACTCGCTGGGTATACCACAGTGATTATTTCCGTAATGACTGAGGGCATTTGGCCATTTGTGTATATATTGAAAACATTGGAATTAAGAATTTAGAATTAAGTTACTAAGGCTTCTTTTAAAAAAAAAATACTGTACTTTTTATGACTTCAGAACCTGTCAAAGAAGACATTCCCCAATCTAAATATACAAAGAGGCTGAAGCTTTTTTTTTTTTCAAGACAAGGTTTCTCTGTATAGCCCTGTCCTGGACTCACAGGCTGGCCTCGAACTCAGAGTTATGCCTGCCTCTGCCTCCTGAGTGCTGGGATGCCACCACCACCCAGATTTTTTTTTTTTTTTTTTTGGACTTTCAAGACAGGGTTTCTCTGTAGTTTTTGGTGCCTGTCCTGGAACTAGCTCTTGTAGACCAGGCTAGCCTCAAACTTCCAGAAATCCATCTGCCTCTGCCTCCCAAGTGCTGGAATTAAAAGTGTGGGCCACCACCGCCCGGCCCACCCAGATTTTTTTTTAAAGCATTGTCTTTTAATGTGATTGTCATTTCAGATCTTCAGCAAGGAAGATGGATAAAAGTGCAATAAAATACATTTATTTTGAATGTGTGTTTAGCATTGTGCCTTATTGAAATGTGCTTGGAAAGAAATAGTATTGCTTCAGATCTGCTTCCTATGTAATTGGATAAGACACACAAAAGTTCACCCCCTTTTACTCAGTTCTGGTTTCATAGAATATCTACCCCTCCCAAAAATCCCACAGTCAAATAAAGGAGTTAAACAAATATTAAAGCCAGCTAATACAAATAATTAAAGGTAACAAATATCTATTTAAAAGAATAAACAGAGCTGAGGTTTAGCTCAGGAGCTCAGGAGTATACTTAGCACACAGAAGGACTGAGCCTTAATCCCTGGCATCGCAAATAAATAGATAATAAAATACTAACAGAGCGAACTGTGAATGTGTGTTTATTTTCAGTTTGGGCTTAGAGGCTTCATATGAACTTACAAGGATTGAATTTGGTCTATTTGTCTGAGAGCCGCACCTTATCACTGTCAGTGCTAGCAACAGAACCCATGGCCTCCACATGCTGAGTACCCGTTCTGCCAATGAGCAATAGCCCCAAATCATGTGGATGAGTATCTTTAGTAAGAAGGAGTATATAATCTATAATGCAGCAATGCTTCCTCTCCTACAAAATCAAAGACTGTAAGAGCTTGAGAAAGATGAAG